ATATAGGGATGGAGCCTCCAAAGTCAACCCGGCTGTTTTTTCCCGTTCGTATGGATTGTCGGTCTAGTTTGTCATTTTTGTCCACCATGTTCGTATTGTTTGTATGTCTAAAAAACACCCGGGTTGACTTTGGGAAGGAGCCCCTCTATATAGGGATGGAGCCTCCAAAGTCAACCCGGTTGTTTTTTCTTTTTGTATGGTTTGTATTGTCTGTCAGTCTAGTTTGTATTGTTTGTACAGTTCATACGTTTGTAATGTTTGTAAATCTGTTTGTATGTTTTGTCACTCTAGTTTGTACTGTTCGTATGTTTGTATGGTTTGTACTGATTGTAAATCCGGTTTGTATACTTCGTAATTTTTCATAATACCCAAACTACCCCTGTCATTAATTAAATAACTCTTCCCACTTTTTAACCATTGGATTGAAGTGTCCAGATCTAATGGTTAGGAGGGGCTTAGCCAAGTGACTAAGCACCCGCTTAGTCACGAAATCCGCTCTCATAAGCCCACCCCTACTCTGCCACCTTAATTCGTTGCATCTCTCTCTACACATAAATGACCATAGTTAAGGGGGGAAACAAAAGAGCATACGTCAAAGTGGCCGCTGTACCCTTCCCGCTTCAATATATAGCAAAGTCGTGAAACTTTGGTGGGAATTATAAGAAAAAAAGTTAGTGGTATGATATTTTATATTAAATTATGATTTAGTTGTAATTTAACTGTTTTATAAAATTAAACTTGTTTATTGCTTTGTTATTCGGTGTCCAATATTTTTTATACGATTGGTCGGTACCGTATGATTTCTGAAAAACAGTAGCAATCTAGGTGCATATTGATTTATGTTTTGGACAAAATTAAATTAGAGAAAAATATTTATAAGATACTAATGGTAAATATTATTGGTTTTGATTAGAAAACTTGATGCACACTGAAGTTGATTAGAAGTAGCGTGTGTAGGGATGACAACAAAACCCGAATCCACGGGTACCCACCCGATCCAACCCGGTCAACGCGGGTAAAATCCGTGTTGAGGGGTTTGGAGCCGGGTTTGGGTTTAAACCCGCTACACTATTCACCGGGTTGGGTTGAGTGTGGGTTTAGGTAAACCCGCCCCATGGGTACCCGCACACACATATATAATTACTTTCCCGGTATATTTAATATTCTAAACAATATATCTTCCTTAAACAACTATTCTTTATGTTTGTGGAGACATATATAATTTTTTCTTTCTAATTGTTCAGAATGAAGTTGATATTATGAAGTGGAGAGTGAAGAAACTTAGTTGGAAGGAATAAGCTTTCAATTAATCATGTTGTTTATAGATGTTTATCTTTAATTTTGAACAATTTGTACTGATCATTTGCGGTTTGCTTGTATGCTCTAGATTGGTGCTTTTTGTATGAATAATTTGTATGAGAAAATTGATGTTAAACTTTTATTTTAAAAGAAATTTGTTATTGTAAATTTTTTACCACAAAAATTCACGGGTACTCATGAACCCGCGGATACCCAGGGGGTTGAGTTGGGTTTGAGTTTTTCAAACCCAGCGGATTTTACCCCTAGTTTTTTTGGCGGATAAACCCATAAGTTTGGGTTTGGGTTCGACAAAACTCGCTCCAATCCGACTCATTGCCGATGTGGCCTCTCGTAATATCTCGGGAAGAGGAGAGCTTTGTGCCCGGAGAACCCAACTTCTTAATTGGATGGGCCCTTAGTGACTCAACTATTCAATTTCACGTTACACAAGACCAATGGACTTTTCAATACATTGTCCAATCCAAGTAGCCTTTTCCTTGTAAGTTTATTGGTGTTTAGTTGATTTTGTGGTGTCTAAATTCTAAAGTAGAATTAAGAGAAAAATACACCAGCATAGCAATTAATATTCAAATTGTGATAATCATAGCCAAAATTTGAAAACTATACTAGTCATTTCGTTTATAAAATTAACGATATTATCACGACAACTGACTGGACAAATGGTTATTTGTGATGTGTCCATTGTCGTCAATGTGGCATGCCAAGTGGACTATGTTTCCAATTTCATTAATTAAAAAGTTAGATCAAAAGAAACTTTACCAATTTATCGATCGTCACTTTACCATTTTGATAGACTTTTACCCAATTTAGTAGTTGAACTCTCGTTTGACGAACACACTCATCCGCTGATCCACACCCCAATCCAGTACAGCTCATCCCAACGATCCACTCTCCAACTCCGTTAAAACTTCGACAAAGGAAGTCATGCATCATCCGGATGGCGAATATACACCTCAATTGTTGCACCCCTTGCCCATTTCAGACTACGTCGGCGAACCCGACGAACTCGACGAACTCTAATCCACAGTCAAACCTGGCGAAGATGGCGCGATCGAACCCGACCAACCCTGAATATCGATGTGAACCCGGCGAACCCTAATCCCACTATCGAGTGTTGAGATTTTCATCTCTTTGGGTTGTGGTGTCTAGTGATTACTAATCACCTAAGGTTGTGTTGGAATGGTGTAATGGTTGTGCTTTCAAAGGGTATAACCTCCACTTTTGATGCTCGTCGAACTCGAATCGGTGCCATAGTTATCCACGTTCCTACGAACATCCCTATGTGATATGAGTCAACTGGGAGATGTGGACTCTGAGAACACGATTCGTGGACTGAGAGAGAGAGTCGTCGAAGCTAGGAGAGAGGCATCAACTATGGGTAGAGAGAAGTCGGAAACGGGAACATGGGGAGTCGACGATCAGTGGCGGAGCCAGAAAATTTGCCAAGGGGGTGCTTGTTCATGTAATGAAAAAATCAACTATACAATAAAAAAGTCAACTTTAAACGAAAATATGAAGTCAATAACATAATACCCAAGATTCGTACAATTACATAATAATAGTTATACACACATCGCCTACAATGAACCTCGACGATTGTATGCACGGTTGGGGAAAAGTTGCAGCTTGCTTGCTACCTCGTGATTACGTCTCTTCCATTTCCGGAGATGGAAAGCTTGGAGGGTGGACTCGCCGCTGTTGGAGGATGGAAGCTTGGAGGTCGGCGAGTGCACTTGCAGCGCCTCTGCTGCTGGGTAGAGGAAAACAAATATGAAATTGGGGGTTTCTGCCTTGCTGGGATCGACGAATATTTTTTTGCCCACAGCCAAGGGGGCTGCTTGCACCCCCCTCCCTTAGACGTAGCTCTGCCACTTTCGACGATGGGGACTTGGGAAAAGGAGGGAGCGTAGTCGCCGAGGGATATTAGCCTGGATACCTAGTTGGTAACAAAGTGTCGCCATGTTACTGACCTTGACTACATTTAAAGTTTGTAACGAAAATGGCTAAAGTTGTCAAATTAGGTTCAAAAGAGTTCATATATCTATGTATTTTTTTAAAAAAAATTTGATATTATTGTCCCAAAGTGTATAGTTATGACTATAAAAGTATATTTTGCCCGGAATTAACCTTAGTCCAAAATGAATAACGTGCACCATAACTTTAACTCGAAACCCTTATACAAACATCACCTATAAGAACTCAGATTCTCAAAAGCTCATATTGTAAAATTGTGTTGTAGTCATATCGGATAAATCAATGTAACCATTTGTCAACTTGGGATTTAGTAGGCGGCAAGGACAACCAATATTTGCAAACACGGATAATAATAATAATAATAATAATAATAATAATAATAATAATAATAATAATAATAATAATAATAATAATAATAATAACAACAACAACGACTTTGCTATGGTGACTTGCAATTCATCGTAACGTCAACTTTTCTGTTGACCTCAGTTAGGATTAGGTCGATCTATTCTGTTGTTTCAGTGTAAAAATAGTTTGAAGGTACCTACTTTGGATATTCATATCTTACAATTGGCTCGATGAAAATTGGAGATTAATGGCTTGTTTTGAAGCTGGAGTGTTCCTCTACACATTGAAGTACTTAGGAGCTTGATAGGAAGTCCAGAAGACAATTTTTGAACCTGATCAAAAAGCTATGCCAAAACTGGGAAACTGTCTGAAAATGGCCAAGTCTGGGAGCGTGTTTGTGAAGCCTACTTGGAGCTCGATTCGAGACACATGGATGAGAGTCAAGTCTAGGGGCCTCTACCACGTGAAAGTATGTATGTTAGTCTATAAAGGCAAGACATTGGATTAAATATTGAATATCTGGAAGGTTTCAAACAAAAGGCTCGAAATTGCTACAAAAGCTGTTTTTCTGACAACTTGCTTGTGGTATAAGGTAACTTACTTGCAAGACATCATAGGCGCACCCTATTACCCTAATAATAATAGGAAAAACTAATTATTAAGCTTAATGTTTGATATAATGATGATATCCTCATACGAAAATCCACCACCAAATTCCATAATCACCATGTATAACAAACATTTCCCTTCACAATTCCCTCTCAATTGTCACACAAACTAACTACAAATCAACACACTTCATGTTGAGGATATTAATTATTTAGTCAAAAATAATTAATTCATTATCCTCCAAGTCCCTTGTTTCCTTGTCTATGCAAAGGAAATTTGGTTGTCATTAGGATTTTAACCCTACGTCTATCTCTATATAAGGTTTAGCTACGAACTTGTCGTAAGCAAGCCATCACAATGTAGTCCCTAATAAAATATCAGTCGTGAGCTCGTTCCGAACTCACCGTGGATTAGTCTCGATCAATCAATCGATCGAGGATACCACGTAAAATCCCTTGTCTTTTGTGTTCGTTTCCTTTCGCATCATCAAATTCTTCATGGTATCAGAGTTGGTTTGTACTTGAGGTCACGTGTTCAAGTCCTCACGACCCCCAATATTAACCGTTGTCTTTCAAGCACATGGTATGGCGGGCTTGTGCAAACTTCAAGCCCATAAGTCGGCTTTCGTTTGAGAGGGCGTGTAAGAAAATGGTTAAGTACCATACATGGGCCTGTATAAGGTCCAACATAACCTTCTCCCAACAACTCGAGTTATTGAGACCAACTGGTTTATGACACTTCACTTTCAACTAATACGTCACACGAACCCCTTGGTATCTCAAAATCTCCCCAATCAGCTCCCCCTTCGCTGACCCGACGTACCTCCCTTTGATCTCGCCGTCCCGTATAAACAGAAACGTCGGGACCTCGATCACGTCCATGTCCTTGAGGAACGCCATGTAACTTTCGTTCTCGTCGCCGTTCATCCTCGCGAACGTCACCGTGTCCGCCATCGACCACGATAGCTTCAGCACCGCCGGGTAGACCTTGACGCAGGGACCGCAGTGCTTGAGCCCGACGTCCAGCACGATGAGCTTGTGGACCTCTTTGTGGTCGGCGATTAGCTTCTCCACGTCCTCGCGGCAGTGCAGCTGCGCCACCGTGTCGTGGCTGTCGCCGTAGTATAGCACGTCTCCCATCAGCTGGTCTGGCCCGATCGCTTCCTCCTCGTGTATCTGGAGCAAGATTGTCAAACAAGTTTATATGTCGTTATGTCAGTTTGCCTAGTCTGACCCATGATGGAGCGAATCTATTATATTTCATGATAATTTTAGCAAACCATGTAAGAAATAGGAAATCATTAACATTAGATGACTTTAACTATGGGGACGTTTGGAAGTTGCGATTGTTAAATAGATGTATTGTTGAGAATGCATGTATAATATTATACATGTATTGTCGAATTTGATGCATTGTAGAATACAACGTTTGGTATGTGTAATTGTGTATGTCGCATAAACTAAAAGCTGAGACAAAACAATCTCAACTCAACTATCTCAACAATCACAACTAAAAGTTGAGATATAACAATCACTCAAAATGAGTGATAGTTTCTGTCACATCACAGTAGGGCTGGCAGACGGTTTTCCGGTTAGCGGCTAACCGGTCGGTTTCAACCGAACCGACCGGTTTTCGGCTAGCCGAAAAACCGACTCCAATGACAACGGTCGGTTGACGGTGGGGAAGGGTAGGGGTTCGGCTAGCCGACTAACCGGGGTCGTAAACCGACGGTTAACCGACTAACCGAAACCCCCCACTTAAAACACCGCCGCCCCCAATCCATTGCCCACTAACCCTAGCAGCCTTTGTAAAAAAAAAAAAAAAAAACCTAGCAGCCGATCTTCCCCTTCCTCCCTCCACCCTCGCAGCAGACCCAACCCCTTCCCCTTCCTCCCTGGCCGTCGACCTTCCCCTTCCTCCCTCCACCCTCGCAGCCGACCCAACCCCTTCCCCTTCCCCTTCCTCCCTCGCCGTCGACCTTCCCCTTCCTCCCTCCACCCTCGACCTTCCCCTTCCCCTTCCCCTTCCTCCCTCCACCCTCGCAGTCGACATTCCCCTTCCCCTTCCCCCTCCACCTCGCCGCCTCCACATCGTCGCAATCCAGCAGAAGCTCGTCGTCCCCGCCGCGGCGCCGCCAACACCAGCAGCTCGTCGCCCCGCCACGGAACCAACGGCGTGCTCGCGGTGAAGAATCCCCCTCGCTGCCCTCCTCCTCCCCGGCGCCGCCCCTCGCCGCATCTCGCCACCGCCCCTGCAGATCTCCTTCCATGGAGAAAGGTGAGAGAAGAAGAAGGAATGAGAGAGAAGAGGTCTGGTGTGGTCCATGGAGAAAGGTGAGAGAAGAAGAAGGAAAGAGAGAGGAGGAGGAGATAAGGAAGGAGTGGTGGGGAATTTTTTCTGTTTTATTTAATTTTTTTTTTTTGGAATTTGTATTTATTTCGGTTGGCCGGCTAACCGAGCCTAAAACCGGAACTGGCCGGTCGGTTGGTCGGCTAACCGTGACCTCTCTTCGATCGGTGGTCGGCAGCTATAGGGGGTGGCTCGGTTTAACCGATAACCGGGTTTTCGGTTTTCGGTTAAACCCGGTTTTCGGTTAAACCGAAACCGACCGACTGCCACCCCTACATCACAGAAACAATCCATGTATTGTTTCTGCTAAAAAAATAAAAAAATGATGCATTATAAACAATACATGCATAATGACAATCTCAATAAAACTATCGCAACCTCCAAACGACCCCTATATATAACATATTTGAAAATAATCTCTTAAAAAGCTAAATTCATATTTAAATAAAATACAATATTAAAAAAATGAAAAAAAATCTTACATTTAAATTTTCATACTTAAAATATAATCTAACAAATAATATAGAAATTTAACTTTCAATTGAAGAAAAAATTTTATTGTTTATCAATTAAATTCATCAAAACAACATCATGTTGTTTACAAATAGAAAATTGATCACAAAAAGTATTCCAGCCGATTTTGTGATAAGTATTGATTGAACCGGATTTTTACGGCCAGTTTGGCCACCGAGGCACCGACATGACAACTATCTAGAGTGAAAATTTTTACTTATGTTTAACAATATAAAGCTTATAATTAAGCATGACAACTATCTAGAGTGGAAATTTTTACTTATGTTTAACAATAAAAAGCTTATAATTAAGCATGTAATTAAGTTGTGATTAAGTTATTTAATAAATTTGATTAAGTTTTAATTAATGACCTTCTCCATGCCCTTGTAGAAGCTGAAGTGAGGCAACTCCTCGATCTTCTCCCTCACGAAGATCTCCCGCGTCTTCTCGGACTCGTCCTCTAGCACCAAGAGGAAGATGACGTCGTAGCACGTCCGGCTGAGCTCCACCAAGAACGGGTAAATCTGCTTGCTCTCCTCATTCTTACTGGCGGCCCACTCCACCACCACCAGCTTGTCCTTGGCCGCCTTTAGCGTGTCGTCGAAATCCGCCGCGCTGTGGATCTTCTGCACCTTCTCGTCCAGCGCCGGCTTCTTCTTCTCCGCCTACGAGGTCCCCGGCGCCGCCGTGGCTTTCGTCACAAATGGTGAATTCAGTTTTCATCTCCTGTTGTTGTTTGGTGGGGATTTAGCGGATGGAAATAGCGACGGGGTTCTGGTGTTTTTAGTGACGGCGGAGGAAGAGAGGGGTAGGAAGGCGAGGGGACTGGTGAGTTTTGGTGGGTAGGTGTTGATGTGACTTGAATCTGACTATCAGCCGCTACGACTGGATTAGTCAGGGGTCTCGCTCTCTCTCGCCCGTGGACTAGCTAGCGCACATCGTGTTAGTGAACCACGTAAATCGTGTGTCTGTGTTTTTCGATTCTCGCTTTTGTATTATTGCTTTATCGATTCCGACGATTTCCTGATCCGTAGCAGCGCATTTTTAACAAGTGGTATCAGAGCCGCAACTTGAAATCAGGCTAGGTTTTTCGATTCAGAAGAATGACGTCGGTGAACATGAAGATCAAAAAGTTCACGAGGAAGAACAGCTTCGCTATATGGCAGATCAAGATGCAAGCTTTATTAAAACAACAAGGGCTATGGGGGCTCTGTCTGCAAAACAGAAGAAGGCAGCGGTCGATGACGATGAGTGGAATACCCTGGAGGAGAAGGCCCACTCGACCATCATGCTATCGTTGTCTGATGACGTCATCATTGAAGTCGCTGCTGAGAAGACTGCCGCGGGCTTGTGGTTGAAACTGGAGAGTCTATATATGACGAAGTCTCTTACCAACAAGCTGCATCTCAACCAACGGTTGTTCAGCTTGAGGATGCAAGAAGGTACGCCTTTGAGGGAACATCTCGAACAACTTAACTCTATTTTGCTGGATCTGCGTAATATAGATGTTCAAGTTGATGACGAGGATGCTTCCCTAATCCTGCTGGTTTCTTTGCCGAGTTCATATGAGAATTTCGTTGATTCTTTTATTGCCAGTAAAGAAAGCATGTCGTTGAAGGATGTCAGGTCTGCTCTTCATACGAGAGAGATCAGGCATAAGGCGTGTGAATCTGGTACAGGTGGTGAGGCATCGGGTTTGGCTGTTACAGGTGGAAAGGGAAAGAAGAAATATGGTAAAGGGAATTCAAACAAGAATTCCAAGGGTCCCGGTCCACAACCAGGTGATGCTTGTCACAACTGTAAGGAAGTGGGGCATTAGAAGTACAACTGTCCCAGGAGAAGAGGGCAACAGAAGAAAGAAGGTTCAGTTTTCGTGACAGAAGTGGACAACAGTTCTGAAGACGATCTCGCCTTGGCTGTAGATGAGAAGGCACATAGTGGGGATGTGTGGTTTCTGGATACTGCAGCCTCATACCATATGTCTCCGAACAGGGATTGCTTCACAACCTACGAGCAGATAGATAGTGGTAACGTGGTCATGGCAAATGGATCTGTCTGCAAGGTTGTTGGAATCGGGTCCATAAAGGTTCGGGCACATGATGGTTCGTTTTGTACCGTGAATGATGTCAGACATGTTCCACGAATGACAAAGAATCTGATCTCCTTGAGTCTACTCGATAGCAAGGATTTCAGCTTCAAAGGAAAATGTGGAGTTGTGTATGTCTGCAAAGGTTCAAAGAAGGTGCCGAAGGGCATAAAGGATGGGACCTTGTATGCATTACAAGGGTCTGTGTTGTCTGGTTCTGCTGCAGTTGCATCATCTCAGTTTCATCAGGAAGATATGACCACTCTCTGGCACATGAGACTAGGGCATATGAGTGAACGAGGGATGCAAGTTCTGTCGAAGAGGGATCTTCTTTGTGTGTTTGGGAAGCTACATCGCAGCAAGTTTCCCAAGAAGGGCATCCACCGGACGAAGGGGATACTGGATTACCTCCACTCCGACTGTTGGGGTCCTTCACAATTTGAATCCACTGGAGGCAGCATGTATTTTCTGTCTATTATTGATGATTATTCGAGATTTACTTGGATTTTCATGATGAAGCAGAAAAGTGAGGTTTTCACAAAGTTCAAGCAGTGGAAGACATTGGGGAAGAATCAAATTAGGAAGAAGATCAAGAAGCTGCGAACGGACAATGGTCTGGAGTTCTGCAATTCTAAGTTCAATGAATTTTGCAAGGATGAAGGGATTGCCCATCATCTGACCGTTAGAAATACACCATAGCAGAATGGCGTTGCAGAAAGGATGAACCAGACATTGTTGGAGAGAGCACGTGCATGCTCTCTAATGCTGGACTAGAGAGAAGATTCTGGGTAGAACAGTGAACATGACGTGCTTCCTGATCAACCGTGTACCTCACACAGGTATCGAGTGTAAGACTCCTTATGAAGTGTGGTATTGTAAACCTGCTGATTACTCTTCACTGAAAGTTTTTGGGTGTCCTGTTTATTATCATGTGGATGAGGGTAAACTGAACCCAAGGGCAAAAGAAGGGTGTATTTGTGGGTTACGGAGATGGAGTTAAGGGATTTCGAGTCTGGTCGCCTTCTGAGCATCGAGTTATACTCAGTAGAAATGTGATATTTTAAGAAGTCTATGTTTAACCCCATGTTGAAGGTTACAGTTGTTGAAGGTAGCAGGAATGTTGATAAGCAGGTGGAGCTGCAAACTCTCAATGAGAGTGAGTTTGAGCACCAAGGTGGAGAAGATCAACATGAGGATGTTTCTACAGAACCATAAACTTCAACGTCCAGTGCAGGAGCTCAACTATCTATAGCTTCCGGTAGACTGAAGAGAGCGACTGCATGAGTACCTCCAGAGAGGTATGATTTCGAGGACATGGTGGCATATTCATTTCAGGTTGTTGAAGAAGTGAATACAGGTGAGCCACAGTCCTATAGAGAAGCCGTTTCGGGTGGTGAAGCTGATCAGTGGTTTGCCGCAATGGGAGATGATAGGAATCAGACTTGGGAGCTAGTCAAACGACCACAGGTAAGGAAGATTGTGCCAAAAAAGTGGATCTACAAAAATAAGGAAGGAATCAATTATGAAGAGGGCATTAAATTTAAATCTCGGGTGGTTGCACGAGGCTTCTCGCAGAGGGAAGGAGTTGACTACAATGAGATTTTCTCACCAGTGGTCAGACATACTTCGATCAGGATGCTACTAGCTATAGTGGCACATTATGACTTGGAGCTCGAGCAGCTAGACGTGAAGACAACTTTCCTACATGGAGAGTTGTAGGAAGAAATTTATATGACTCAGCCAGAAGGATTCCAGGTTCCAGGAAAGGAAAACTATGTTTGTAAGCTGAAAAAGTCCTTGTATGGACTTAAGCAATCTCCGAGGCAGTGATACAAGAGATTTTACAGTTACATGCTTGAGCTGGGCTACAGCAGAAGTCCATATGATTGTTGTGTGTATCACAACAAGGCAGAGAATGGTTTGATGATATATATAGTTCTGTATGTGGATGATATGCTCATAGCTGCGAGGTTGAAGTCTGATATCCAGAAGTTAAAAGGGCTTCTCAGTGCTAAGTTTGAGATGAAGGATTTGGGAGCTGCTAAGAAGATCTTGGGTATGGAGATACATGGACATGTCGAAAAAGAAGCTTTTCTTGTCACAGAAGAGCTACATCCAGAAGATACTGTCGACGTTTGGCATGTCTTCAGCAAAGCCTTTAAATACTCCTAGTGCTTCAAATGTTCATCTGTCCTCAGCTTATGCTCCGCAGTCACAGGCTGAGAGGAGTACATGTCGAGAGTCCCATATGCTAGTGCAGTAGGTAGTTTGATGTATGCTATGGTATGCACTAGACCTGCTATTGCACATGATGTTAGTGTTGTCAGCAGGATCATGATACAACCTGGGAAGGAGCATTGGCAGGCTGTGAAGAGGATCTTCCGGTACCTTAAGGGTACACCTGATGTGGGGATTAGCTTCGGAAGTGATACAGAGTGCTTGGTGTCTGGGTATTCTGACTCGGACTATGCTGGATATGTTGACACGAGGAGATCGATGACTGATTATGTATTCACTCTTGGGAGTTCTGTAGTGAGTTGGAAGGAAACTTTGCAGTCGGCGGTGACATTGTCTACTACTGAGGTAGAGTATATGGCGTTGACAGAAGCTGCTAAGGAGGGAATATGGTTGAAGGGATTGGTTGGTGATCTGGGTTTACATCATTGATCAGGCAGTGGTGTATTGCGACAGTTTGAGTGCAATATGCTTGGCCAAGGATCAAGTCCACCATGAGAGGACTAAGCACATTGATGTAAGGTATCATTTCTTGAGGACAAAGAAGAGGATTAAGGTGAAGAAGGTTGGCACCGCAGATAATCCTGCTGATATGTTCACGAAGCCGATTCCACATGGCAAGTTCTAACACTGCTTGGACTTGCTGAATGTCTTGAGTGGGTGACTCCGCCCTACGGGGCATTGATGGAGGGAGGGAGAGAGAGAGAAGAAGCAGAGTACATCAGAGATTTCAGAGGAAGAGGATTCAAGTCAAGGTGGAGATTTGTTGATGTGACTTGAATTGAACTATCAGCCGCTACGAGTGGATTAGTCGGTGTATGAGTTCAATGTTATTTGGGTTCGGGTGCTAGGCCTGGTTTGTAACCGTTTCCTTTGCAACATTGGATTAGGTTTAGACCCACATGGAGAAGTACTATAAATACTTCTCATACTCCTATGTAATCTGTAATCTCCTCGATATAGTGAAACTGCTCTCTCTCGCCTGTGGACTAGCTAACATACATCGTGTTAGTGAACCACGTAAATCGTGTGTCTGTGTTTTTCGATTCTCGCTTTCGTATTCTTGCTTTATCAATTCCGACGATTTCCCGATCCGTAGCAGCGCGTTTTTAACAGTAGGGATGGCAATGGGGCGGGTTTGCCTAAACTATTCTCATCCCCATTACCAAATACCCAAACTCATAGCCGCTCCATACCCATGCGGATGGAGGTTTTGCAAACCCATCCCATACCCATAGGTAATACCCGCCCCGTATAAGCAATATTATTATATCTAAATTTCAACATGTATGTCTCCAATTATAACACAAAACATACATAATAAATAAC